TTATCCTTTATCTTTTTTAAAAAACTAGTTGTTTGTTATATTGACTTCCTCTAACGGTTTTCTACTTTTAATTTCAAGGATTTCTTATTTATATTACTTCCTTCTATTTCCTTTGGATTTATTCTGTATTCTTTTTCTAGGTTCTTGAGAGAAGAGTTTAAATAACTGGAGATTTCTCTCTCTTGTCTCATACATGCATTTAGTGCTGTAGATTCTTTTTTTCAGCATTATCGTACCCATGCCCCACACTTTTGATATGTTGTTATTGTTTAGATCTGGAATGTTCCTCTCAAAGTCTCATGTGTTGGAGGCTTGGTCTCTAACTAGTGATGATACTGCGGGGTAGTGGAAACTTCAGGAGGCTGGCCTTACTTGGAGGAAGCAGGTCACTCTGGGCATGACCCTCGAGGGTGTATACTATCTCTGGGCCCTTCTCTCTTTGCTTCCCGGATGCCATGATGGTAGCCCCTTTCCTCTACTACACCTTTCTATGGTAATGTTTCTGCCTTTCCACAGGTCTAAAAACAATGGAACCAGCTGATTGTAGACTCCATACTCAAACTGTGAGCCAAAATAAATATTTCCTCATTGTTTTTCCCAGATATTTTGTCACATGAAAATCTGACTAACACAGTTACATTTTCATTTTTGTCCAGTTCAATGCATCTTTAAATTTCTCTTGAAATTATACCTTTGACCCATAGATTATCAAGAAGTCAGTTTAATTTCTAAGTATTTGGAGATCATCCTGTTTTCAAATTCTAATTTGATTTCCTTGTATGATTTTAATTATTTTATATTTGTTGAGGTATGTTATTTCTTAGCATATGTTCCATGGGCACCTGAAAAGAATGTGTATTCTGCTGTTGTTGGGTGGAGTGATCTCTAAATGTCTTTCAGATACTATTTGGTAGTGTTGAACTCTTTTATATCCTTGCTGATTTTCTTTTCAATTTTTCTTTACATGGATTATTTAAAAATATTAAATTACTGATCCTAGACCGCTGGTTGCTGTCCTGAGTCAGATAGGAAATGTAAATGAGAAAGTGGAAGGAGAAGTGTCAGTCATAACTAGAGAGAGTAAAAGAGGTGTGGAGAGGATAGCAGAGGTACAGAAATTACTTGATCCATCTACATATGTGAAGATGGCCCTGTATAGGAGGAAGGAGAAAGAAAGTAGTCGTTCTCACTCATCTTTATGGAAATGGACTCTAATATTAATTAATGCTTCTTGTTCATGTTTTTATTAAAATCTATTTTTCTGTTTTCTTTTGTAGTTCTGGGGATTAAATCCAGGGTCTTGTGCATGCTAGGCAAACACTCTACCATCAAGATATATTCCCTTGATGGCTGATGCTTCTTGTGCTAGATCCAAAATCAACTGTCCTCAGATGACAGTCATTACATATGCTTCTTCTTTTTCCTGTGGTTATACTGTGTCCTTCTTTTCTTTGGAAACTTAGATCATGTTATAGGGCTACTGTATAGAGCTATATAGGTTGTGTGTTCTGCAAAAGTCCAAGTGATTCATATCCAATGAGATGTTTCCTTGTTGTATTGTAGTTATACAAGCCAGTAGAATTTATTTTGATATAACTGTACAAGCATGGACTGTGTCTTATTCTAGTTAGGACCCCATTCTTATGAATGTATATGATGATAGGATTCACTATGGTGTATTCTTATAAGCAATGAGATGATATAATGTCATTGCCCAGAAATCTTTCTGCATCATTATTATTAGATACTTTTACTTACCATTCATTAAGAAATATTTGAGGAAAAATAAGAGATACAGAATCACCAAAACAATCCTTATCAAGAAAAGTGAAGCAGGAGGCATCACAATACCAGACCTTAAATTATACTATAGTAACAAAAACGGCATGGTATTGGCACCAAAATAGACATGTAGACCAATGGTACAGAAGACACAGAGACCAACCCACATAAACACAATTATCTCAACTAGACAAAGGCACCAAAATATTTATTGGAAAAAAGATAGCCTCTTCAATAAACGGCACTGGGAAAACTAGAAATCTATCTGTAACAAATTGAAATTAAACCCCTATCTCTCACCCTGCAAAAACTCAACTCAAAGTGTTTGAAGGACTTAGCCCTAGACCAGAGACCTTGCACCTAATAGAAGAAAAAGTAGGCCCATATCTTTGCCATGTCAGCTTAGGAACTGACTTCCTTAACAAGACCCCTAAAGTACAAGAAGTAAAATCAAGAATCAATAAATGGATGGATTCAAACTAAAAAGCTGCTTCTCAGCAAAGGAAACAATCAAGAACATGAAGAGAGAACCTACAAAATGGGAGAAAATCTCCAGGATACATAAAGAACTCAAAAAACTTAACACCAAAAATATAATCCAATCAATAAATGCACAAAGGAACTAAACAGATGCTTCTCAGAAGAAGAAATATGATTAGTCAACAAATATATGAAAAATGTTCAACATCTCTAGCAATTAGAGAAATGCAAATCAAAACTACTCTAAGATTTCATCTCATTTCAGTCAGAATGGCAATTATCAAGGATATAAGCAACAATAAATGTTGGTGAGGATGTGGGGAAAAAGGTATCCATTCACTTCTGGTGGCACTGCAAATTGGAAAGCAGTATAGAGATTCTTAAGAGTACTTGGAATGGAACCATTGTTTGACCCAGCTATCTCACTCCTTGGTTTATACCCAAAGGACTTAAAATTAGCATACTACAGAGATACAGCCACATCAATGTTTACAGCAGCTCAAATCACTATAGCCAAATTATGGAATTAACCTGGTGCCCTTTAACAGATAAATGGATAAAGAAAATGTGGTATATATACACAGAATGTACTATTACTCAGCCTTAAAAAAAGAATGAAATATGGCATTTGCAGGTAAATGGATGGAGCTGGAGAATATCATGCTAAGGGAAGTAAGCCAGCCCCCAAAACCAAAGGCCAAATGTTCTCTCTGATATGCAGATGTTAATTCACAATAAGGGGGTGGGGTTAGGGAAAAATAGAGGTACTCTGCATTAAACAGAGGGGAGTGGTGGGAGGGGAAGGGGTATGGGGATAGGAAGGATAGTGGAATGAATTGGACATCATTACCCCATGTTCATATATGATTACATAACCTATGTGATTCTACAACACGTACAGCCAGAAGAATGAGAAGTTATACTCCATTTATGTATGATGTGTCAAAATGCATTCTATTGTCATATATAACTAATTAGAATAAGTAAATAAATAAGAAATATTTGAACATATATGTCAGGTGTTGTTCTATATCCTGGGGATTTGGCAGTGAACAAGATAGACAGGGTCTTCTTTTGAAATTGGAATGGGAGTAAGACTAACAGTAACCACATAAATAAGCTTCAATGTTATAAAGAAAAGGATGTACAGGTTGGGAGTGAGTTAAAACTTTAGCTTGAATGTTTGGGAGATACATTCTTATGTTATTCAATAATACTTACAGGACTGTATTCTATAACAATAAATATTATGTAACTAACTATTTTCTGACTCCCTGCTCCAAACTTGAAACAGCAGACATGATATCATTATGTATACACTAAGTGTTTGAAACAAGTTAATAGAGTTAACAATTTCTTACTAGATTTTGTTTTTTTCTTTAGAGGATGAAATGATCTTTTAAGAGAAAGTGAATTACTTAATAATCTGAGTGGTAAAGTCAGAAAATTTTATTACATGTATAAAACTAAGGATACTTTTGTGGGTTTGGTAGTGGCAGAGAGCCAGACTTCACAAATTTAGTACATTTTCAATACCTGTGCACTACATTTTCTAAGACCTAGGAGAGTTCTCAAAACCACAAAACTCACTATAGCAGATAATTTCCCCATAAAATATAGTGAAATACGAATAAAATATATTAAAATATCCCTGGTATCTATAATGGTTTCCTATAAGTACAGGACTAAAGAAATCTGTAGGATTAGTTTTTGGCTAAGAAACTTCCTTTCATTAGACGTCTGCATTCTCATTACCAGTACAAGTGATTGGTTTTCTTTTAAGAGATTTTTTTTTTCTCTCAAAATTAAAAGTAAAGGTTAAAACAACAATAACCCCTCCCCCCAGAAAAACCCCAAACTCTACAAAAAAAAAAAAAAAATCCCTAAAAGTCAGTGCATTCTTGACGATGAGTAGAAAAGGAGTAAACACATCGTGGGTTGGTCCATAAGGTGGGCCCACGCTCGGGAAAGAGCTCCACTCAACACATGAGTTCAGAGGGCTCGTGATTCAAATGAAGCATATGGAATATGAGAAATCACCATGAGTCATCAATTATCAAGGCTACCAAAAGATCAGTGAAACTGAGAATGTCAAATCTCCATAGATGATAAATACCTTTTGGTTTCCAAATTACAGATTTATACCTAGAGAATATAATACAACTATTTGTTCCCCCTCTTTAGTGTTATAGCACATATGAGATCATTTTGAGGGGGAAACAAAGATTTAGAGCTTTCTGAGCTGAATATAATACAGGAAATTAATTGCTCTGGAACACCACAAGTTAAATTTTTTTCTTTTGTTATATGACTATTATGGTTGTTTTCTAATTGTCAGAAATCTACAAGTCTATAAATCTTATTTTTTTCTTTAAAAAAATATATATATTTTAGTTGTAGTTGGGCACAATACCTTATTTATTTATTTATTTTTATGTAGTGCTGAGGGTTGAACCTGGTGCCTTGCATGTGCTAGGTGAGCGCTCTACTCCCAGCCCCTATTTTTTTTTTTTTCTTTTCAATCAGAGTTGATAATTTTATCTTCCAAGGGAGGTGAAGAGAAATTGAGCCAGGGTTTTGCAAGTCCTCATAAACATGAAAGCAGCCCACAAAATCAAGGTGTTATTATCAGTCAGGTATTACTGGTTTCAAATTCCCACTTTGTTCCTTGAGCAGAATAAAAATTCATAGAACTACTGACTAGCTGAAATGGACATTGAACAAAGGGTTTAACTTACTTCTCTCACAAACCACTGACAAAAGGCAGGACCAATCCATTCTCTTGCATGAATACCACAGTCCATCCAGACAGCTCTTTTGTAAGCTCGTGATTTTCTGCCCAGCTGAAAACAGGAGTATTCATAGTAACAAACTCAGGCTTTTATTTGGAGATTCACTGACCAGCATAATTTAATAAGATTTCAGCATAATTCTTCACTATGGTTTGGTTCATTAGGTAACACATAAAAAAGATAGAGAGAGATACTATCTACTTTGGAAGTCCAGGCTTGTTTATGCAGAAACAATAAATTTAAAGCCCTAATAATACAATCAAAGAAGTATAAAATATACAAGGGAAAGGGAAATTTCTAAAATAGGGTTGCTTCTATTTTAATATAAGATATGAAGTTTAAATAAAAGCCTGAATTCTTCTTTCTTCCTTCCCTTCCTTTTTCTCTCTCCCTTCCCCACCATTTCCCCAAATTTTCCAATCAGAAATGTTCTCAAGGAATATTTCTTAAAGAAATAGCTATATTTTATAGGTGAAGAAAGTCAAACTTTACTATACCACAAAAGGGAAAACTTAAAACAATTTGGTCTATAGAATCAGGTGGTAGATTAAAAAATTACTATATCAATATTAATTCTAACCAAGTTTCTAACCCAGTCATTAATAGGTAATTTTTGAAATTATATTCATAGGGGATCTTAACTAATACTTTGGAAAACACTTTTTAACATTATGGGCTCAATCCTAGAGATTCAAAGATGAAAGCATAAGGGGTTTACATGCTAGTGGGGAGAGTAGACAGGTAAGCAATCAATCAACCTTTATGGTGTGAATATCCATAAGGCATCTTAGGAATATGGGTGTTGTGTTGAATTTTCCTGGGGGATAAATGGAGGCTTCACAAAAGAAGTACTTGAGCATGTTTTCAATTTTGCCTGGCAGACAAATTGGTGGAAGGCATTTTAAGTTTGAAAGAGAATCTGAGGACATGATACTGCAAGGATTGCTTCTGTAGTTTGAGGAAGGAACAGCATGTGAATCTGTAACAGAGGCAAGAGAACACTTGGAGTCCCTGGATATTATGGAAAAGAGATGAGGATGGGTTCCATATTCCCCGGAAGGGGTAAGGGCACACACACATGTGTGTGTGCATGCATGAGTATGTGTGAATGCTCACGTGTGTGTGCATATGTGTTCGTGTTATCTCTGACAGCAATGTGGAGGATGGATAGGAGGATGAGAGGGCCAAGAACAGGGACTCAAAAAGAAGTTGAGTACTGGGGCCACTATTGCAATAGTCTAGGAGAACAGATCTAAAGGTGAGTTAGGGTAACACCAGCGAAGACAAGGGAAGAGGTTTGGGCTTATCCAAAAGAATTGTCAACTGAAAGTGAGTGATTAAAATAAAGGAGAGGAATTTAGGATGATAATCATGTTCCTAAACTGGGAGGAAAATGGTGCCATTCTGACTCTGAGGTGCTTGCTTTTATGAATATTCAAGTTAAGGTGTCAAGCAGGCAATGATGTGTGAATTCAAAGCTCCAGAGAGTGGACTCCACTGGATAGAAAGGTCTGGCATGACTGTTGACATTACCAGCAGATATGCCCAGTTAGACAGGGTTTATGGAGTGAAAGCAGAGATGTGGGTAGGGTCATGGGGATCACCAGAACCTAAGGAAAGGACAAGGAAAGAGGAGCCAGTGAATGAGACTTGAAGGAATGAATGGTCAAAGAGACAGGAGGAGAATTGACTGGGAGTCATCGTTGACCTTGGCAAGGTAAGTTTAAAGGGAGCTGTGGGACATGAGCCAGTTAGGGGAGGGGAAGTAGTAAAGATGTTCTAACTACGGGCAAATCTTATTAGAAGTTTAACTGAGAGAGAACACTATGGGTCAGTAGCTGGAGGAGAATACAGGATCAAGGGATGGGAATAACACATACCTTCTTACACATTTACCTGGTTTTACGCTGGTTCATCTTAACTAGCACCAACTCACAAATAAGTGGCATCAGTAATTCTGAATATATCAGAAACAGTATCCTCTAGAATACTAAATGCCAAATATTAAATATAATTCAAACATCTAAGGGATTTTTTTCCTTAAATTATCAGATGATGTTAAATATGGCTTATGAAAAATTATTTCATTTTTTCCCATAAGTTGAAAAAGATAAATATTGGATGAACATTTTATATTTGGTTGACACTTTCTTCTTTTTTACCTTTAAAATAAATAGCGATCTTCCTTCATATGATCTTCCAATAGAAAACATATGAATAAGGCCTGAATGAGTTTTATTCAGATGATGCATCCAATTCTGAATCTAAAAGCAGATAAATAAAAACCATGTCAGACTCTCTTACAGTAATGGGGCTTTTAGAGAATAAAGGTAACAAAAATGACAGCAGTAGGTCTCAGAATTCAAAGAGTATATATTAAATACAAAATGAAAAAAAACAATTTCCTCTACTTAATTTTTTTGGGATACTTAAAATTTTACATTTTATTTTCTGCCTTTATAGATAGCTTATGTCTTGGTTATGGTTCCCTCTTTAAAGCATATCTTCTACTGCCAAATGTCATTAATATCTTGCTGACACTGTTTTGTGGAAAATTAATTGATGTGTTCTGGTTTCTTCTTAAAAAAATCAGAATTTATTTCCATTTTCCCACAGATATTTAAGAGAGAGAGAAAAATTTAAATCCACTTTATGAAAACTATCCAAACCACTTGAAAGTGGTATTCAAATTCCATATATTGTAATTTCCCACAGAACAGAAGATGCTAAGAAAAAGTTATTATCGTTTGCATTTAAACATTATTCTACTTAGCCACATGTTGGAGGACAACTCTGAATAGTCCCTCCAGTGACAGTGATATATTTGTCTCCATCCCTCTCACATGCTTATCTGTCATCAGGAGAAGGTATATTTGAAATGGATGAATAAGGTGCTTAGAAAGATGGTAACATTTCTGACTTATAAGCCCTATAAGGGATAAAGAAGTAACACAAAAGCATCTCACTGTTCCATGATGTAAAAGAGTTTGTATTCAAGAAAAAATTATATATTTTGGAACGTATATTTTTTCTTTTCTTTCTATTCCTATTTAATCTAATGATCAGGTTCATATATATATGTGAATATATATACACACATTTGTGTACATATCTGTATTCATTTTATTTTTGAAATTTGACTTTTTTCTAGTACATTTTAAGAGCACTGCTGTGTGCCAAGTTATCTAAAACATTTCTACTGCTTTCAGCTTCTAAAAGGTATATCGAGACATAAAATATGTGAAAAGAGTTTTGGAAAGGAGTTATCATCAACAGAACCAAAAATATTCTTAATAATAGAACAGGATCTTGTTAATTTTGGTGTCTGCTGATCCTTTGTTCAATTCAGGGAACATAGAAAATGTATATATTTATTCATTCTGTCAACAACTTATCTATTTTAAAGCCTCTATTTACCTGCCCTTGGGGATATAGTGGCAGATGAGAAAAAAAATAGTCTGCCTTCCTGGAACTTGCAACTTAGTAGGAATGAAGGGCACCTATCAAATAATCCTATAACGACACAACTAAGAACTGTGAAAGGTAATATCCATATGTTATGGGATGTGTGATGTTGGAGGGTAGTGGGCAGAGGGGTTGGATCCAGTCTGGAAGAACAGAAACTGCTACTTGATTGCTTAAAGCTGAAATTTGAAGAATGACAAGTTGTCAGGTGAGCAGTAAAGGATGTGGTTGGTGGTGAGGATGAGGTTGCTGTGAGTTTTCTGGGTAGAATATATAACAGCATGTTCAAAGGTTCAGAGGTGCCACTAGTGAGGATTGGCCTTTGGGAGTTCTCAGCTTTGCAAGGGTGTAGGGAAAGTCTCAAGTCTCAAAGCGTTACCTTTAAACTCTGGCTAGTTCTACTTTCATGGCTTTTCAGTTAAGGCCTCGATAACTATCATTTTAACATTACCTCAGTCTTCCATTGTACTCCTATGTCTTTTGTAGAAGTTGGCTGGGTAAATCAAGTGAAATTTAAATTATTTTGCTACTTCTTTTGTAGCAGTGAAAGGGTCAGTGGAAGAAATGAGTGAATCGAGGTACTGAGGTCATGTAAGAGTTCTATACATTCTTCCCAGAGCAATTGTCTCTGTCTTTATGCTTCTTTCCCAATACTTAACCCTAAATATCAAAGATGAACTTGTAAAAAAGCAATAAAAACTCCTATGATTACACACTTCTTCTAAGGAGTGGTACACTTCATAATTATATTCAGACAGGGATCTTCTGTTTCTCTGGGTTGGCAAACTGTTTCCATTTTCCAGCACTTTCTGAAGATCTTCTACGAGAATCCTGGATTTGAAATAATAGACATTATGAAAAGTAAATTGAAATGATGCAAAAATCATGCAACATCAAAAAATTAGATACATAAGGAATGAACAAGTAACACAGAAGTGTCCCAGTGTTCCATAATGTGAAAGGAAAAAGAAGGATGCCAAGAATGACGATTCTAAAAATACCAAATGTTGAGAAAATGTTCTTTTTTGGGAAATAAAAATGATTAAATAAATGGTAGAATGAATTTGAAGTGTAACATTGTAGGCAGATGTCCCCAAATAATGTAGCACTGTAACAACAGCTACCCTTGAGTGAGCAGCTAAAAACAGCCAAACAATGGCTATGAGCACTTAGACTAGGGGCCATAGCAAGGTGGGCTGTGTATTTGATGTACATAATCTAAGTGACCGTATATAGTGGACTCGATTATCTCCATTTTATAAAAGGGGAACCTGAAATTCAAAGGGATTAAGAGTTTGCCAGTATCAGACCTCTTTGGTCAATGCAGAGCCAGAATTTGAACAAGGAATGTGCACATAAATTCTAATCTTGCAACTCCAACTCTAGTGTGACATGATGCAAACTGAGCAAGCCTAGGCTACTCCTTCACTCCTCTCCTTATCTTCTTTCTTGCTGTTTCTGTCTGTTCATGTCCCTTTCTTCATGGAGACACTGTTTTCAGGTCATCACTCAGAACATCTGACCTAAGATGCAGAGAGGAAAGGGAGGGAACAGAAGTTACAGTTCTCAAGAATAAGCTGAAGAAATTCCCAGAGTTGGAAAAAGCCATCTTGCTACATGCCAGTATCAAGAATGCCAAGAGAAGACAAGCTCAGCTAGTCAGAGTGAGTGCACTGAGAAACTAAGGGTTGAGGCTGGGGTGGGGGACACAGGCTCAGCCTAATGGGTGGAGCCAGGTCCAGGTGGAGTCATCAGTGTTCTTGATGTCTAATCTAGATGCAGACTTGTCTTTCCAAGACTCGCTGGTCACCAGTTACTACAGTGCTGTGAAGTTATAATGCGCTGCATTCATTTGCAATAGTTAAAGATATTTAAGAGCCCTTCACTGATTTTTCAGGGCTTAGAAGATGGCTAAAAAGCTTTGCTGCATGTTTTCTCTTCCAAAACAATCTGTTCCTTAAAAAGTTTAAATATTATCAGAACATTTTTAAAGACTGATTTAAGTAAGCCTTAAAATTAAAAAAATATTAATTAAAAATAATTAATAATTAATCAATTAAAATATTAATCAATTAAAACATTTTTTATAATCTGATGGGTAAATACTTTTTTGGTCCATGATGGAACTACATTTACTTGGGGGTCACGGTGATTTACTCAGTTGTTATTTATCGAGCACCTGCCATGGACAAAACCCCTAATCAGGAGTTGATCATTGGTTTATTGTTCTTTTTGTTTCAGTTTTGTACTTTAAAGCTGGAAACATTCCAGGAATCAAGACGAGAGGTAAAGTGGCACAAAGCTCGGTAAATTTTCTTGGCAGCTGCTTGCAGTGGCTCAAAATATGAGTGGAACATTAAATTTCAGCCTAAACACCATCAGTGTTAGTGTTTTCTATTTTCCCAAAGATGAAAAGTTGCAGATGGTTAGGTGCATGGGCTAAAGAACCTTACCATATTGCAGAGACAAGTCTTTGGAGCCAAATGAGCTAGCTCTGTCAATGTCTGAGTTTCCTTGTGTTAATAGAGAACCTGAATAGTGAAAAAGGAAGCTATCTTGCTGCCTACCACTGTCAAGAATGCCAAGAATAGAGAAGCTCAGCTAGTCAAGGTGAGCACATTTAGAAATTAAAGGCTGAGGCCAGGGCAAGGGATGCCAGGTTCTTTGCAATGGATGAAACCAGCAGCAGGTGGAGTCACCCTGTGGGTTTGATTAAGAAGGTGGCTATAAATCGTTCTCATATTCCAGTTACTGCAGGCAACCTTCAAGTATGTTTTTCTTCCAGGATGATTTCTCTCTGCTGCTTTTATTTTTCTATCCCAAGAAACCAAGGAAAAAAAAAAAACGTAGATAGATTTGCCAAAGCCAGCAATCTACACAAGGCTCTCCTTCTGAATGCACAGTTGAAAAGGTCCGTGGTACTTTGTTACAGCAATCCCAGCACAATAATTCAAGTCTCTGTTCAGTCACTTAGGACTATACTCTCACACAGGGTATAAAAGGCCAACTTTAAATTAAAAAATAGTTGTAATATAGCTGACGCAGAGCCATTTTCCTTGTCAAGTACTGGACTGGAAACCAGCAATATTGACGAGAAAGCTGCGAAATGGAGTACTAAAAAAAAAAAATCTTTTAAACTGTTGTGTTTTCTTAGTTTTTTTTTTTTTTAATATTTCATTATGATTCCTACTCCAATTGGGTACATTTCTATAATATATCTGGAACAATGAGAAACTTTACAAATTTTGTAATTCAATATAAAACCATCTCCTAGAAGCTTCCAGCATCGGGAAGGGCCCTCAAAATAGAAATTTTGATGCCAATTTTCACAGGAATTTATTAAGTGACTGAACTTTTTATGCAGAATGAGTCATCTCATGGAGAGGAGGATTGATCACCTGGGGACCAGACATGTGGTGTCACATTATCTGTGCTTTAAAGATCACTCTAATGATACCTTATATATAGTTTGTACAGAATAAATGATAATCTTTGGAAAATACCCCAGACTACAATAATAAAAGTCAATTAAAATGATCTCTACCTATCGTGCCCAAGGAATTTAATTCACTCTTAAGTGTTATTATCTTGGGACCAACAAAATGAATAATTTTAAATGATTGTTCTTCCTGAGGAGACAACTGATTTAAAACACTCATTTTTTTTTTAAGGCTCTATTCTCTGTGACACAAAGTATGACATTTTTTTTCTGTATCAGTTCCACATGACCTATATTTAATGGTAGGAAATGGAGACTTGTTAAACTAACTGATATATTCTTTTCTATTGAACAATAATTAATGAAGCATGTAGGTTGTCACTGGCACCTATGGATATAATTGCCAAGCTCTTTCCTGCCAGGCATTCAGAGAATCAAAGCACGGCGTCAAAGCAGCAGCACCGACTAAAATGTGTCCAATATGAACAATAGTTTTATGCACAGCTGTGATTCTTTTCTAGAAGCACAAATAAAATGCCTTTCTGCAAAAAGCTTATTGGTACTTTAATAGGTTGTAAATATCTTTCCGGCAGGGCAGTATTTGTGTGGATCAGGGATGTCACTGTCATTTTGCACCTTTTGTCCCAGGTTTCCAGAGAGCCTGGGGCATTCAACATTGATTCACAGAGCCATCAGCCCACCCCATGTCTTCCCACACACTATCAGAAACCTGTGTGCCAGTTTTGACAGTACTTAGCCTGCTAAGAAGGTGGGGTACTTGAGGGTGTGAGATCATTATGCCCCTCAGGCCCCAAATATCCCAGTGAAGGGTAAGCTACGCTCTGGTCTCATTAATTCACTATACTGCATTTCTTTTCCTCAAATCCTCTGCGGGCACTGTTTCTCTCAACCACCCCCTTTACCCTGTGCCCACTGGAGTCTCTCTTATGTTGTAAACAAATTCCTACATTCTCCAGTATCTTCAGAGAACTCTCTCTTTTCATACCAAAAATTCGGCACTTTCTTTTGTGGATTTTTACTCAACACACCCTTCCTACTTATCATGGGGCCCAAAGGGAGGGAGGTCAGGGTTCTCCTGGACACCATTTTGCTTTCCCATTAATCTCCTCACTTCTGGGCAGAGCTCACGCCATTCCTTGTTGCTTTCCTCTAACTCTTGGCTCTGTCCTTCACCTCTAATCTTACCACCAGCTAAGGAGATTCAAGACTGCTATGGCCATTCTCTGGTGAGGTAGTCCTTTTATTCTTCTTCTTCTTTTTTTAAAATGTATTCTAATTGGTTATACAGGACAGAAGAATGCATTTTGACACATCATACATAAATGGAGTATAACTGTCATTCTTCTGGTTGTACATGGTTGTAGAATCATGCCAGTTGTGTAATCATATATACACATAGGGTAATAATGTCCGATTCACTCTACTATCCTTCCTCCCCTTCTCCCTCCCCTCCTTTCACTCTCCTCTGTCTAATCCAAAGTACCTCTATTCTTCCCTAGTGCCCCCAGCCCCTTATTGTGAATTATCATCCACACTGCATCCAGTTCAGTGATTTTCCACCCCAAATTCCATTCCAGCCATCTCCTTCATGGCTAATGCCTGGATTTTGTCACCAGCCATAAGCTTTTTAACCTAGAATTCATAACATCCAACAGCCCACATTTTGTCAAAACTTCCTTCCTTCCCACTGTTACTCTCAGTCACACTATACTTGTTTTCAATATAATGACCTTCGCGCCATTTTTGATTTTCCATTTTGTTCCATGATTCTTCCTAGATTCTTCTCTCTCCTTATCCTGATTAGACCCCAATGAATGAATACTTGATCAAGTGTCTCCCTGGGAGTCTTGACTTCTTTGCCATCCTGACTTTTCCTTGATCTTATCCGACAAAATAGCACCTTTATATCAGTTCTCTATTCTCGCCTCTCTTCTCAGTTTTATTGGTTCTTACCTTGGTTTTTCTCTTGCCAACACTCTTTAAAAACAGTGTCTTCACTTGTGCTAGATTATTTTGCTTCTTACTTCATCCAGAAACTTTTAAACTATGATCTCCTTCAATGCATGGACTTTCCTTTCTGCAACCTTAGGTAAACCCACATGTACTTCTTGAATCTTAGAAGATGAGGTAACCTTCCTATCGTTCAAACTCATCCCTGCACCTGTGCATTCTCTCTGGCATGATTGACATCTCCCTCCCTTCTGGTTGTTCCCCTCAGCTCACAGACATGAGAAAATTCCCCCCCTCTCACCTAAATCCCAAATCTTCCAAACAGTCACTAATCCTTTGTGGTCACTTCCTCTTCTCTGCTCCTCTCCTATTCTGATTGCTAAGAGCTGTAGTCTGCTCGGTTGCTCAAGATCTTCTCCCTGTTCACTTCTTCTATCCCTAATAACTGAATCTCATCATTAGTGTTAGCAACACAATTTCCATTGCCAAATCCCAAGGAGCCTGCTCAGTTCCTTCTTGCTGGAAGTCACTGTAGTACTTGGCCCCATGACCCTTCCCTCTGATTTGATTCCTCTGACTATCTCCTACTTGCTCTCTTATTGTGTTGATTCCTTTTAATATCCAACCTGTTTCAAATCTGTCTACTTAGTTAGCTTTTCCAAGCTAGACAACTTGGAGTTATCCTTTGATGTCTCCCTTTCCCATCTACCATTCAATCAGTGGAGAGTCCAGGTGGTTTGACTTCTGGATTTTTTTTTAAATGTTCTCTTCATCTTGCTACTCTGGTCTTAACTCAGGGCCTCCCCAGTCTTGCTGGGACCATTGCTGTCATCTCCTCTTGCCCCTCTACTTCCACAGACACGTGACTCTTTTGCTTATATCCTCTAATAGATCAGCACCATGGATAAGATAAGGTATGGGCTCCTTTCTGCTACACATACACCGTCTACCCCTTAATCTCCTGCTGTCTCTCCTGCACCTTTTCTTTCTGCTCTCTGACTTACACTGTATTTCTATGCTGCTTCTTCCTTTACTTGCATTGTTCCCTCTGCATGCCAGGTCCCGAGTCTCATTCTAGGTCTGGCTGACACAACTCCTGTAGGAAGCCTTTTCCTCCTCTTCCTTCCCATAAGTCCTCCAGACATTGTTAGGTTGCTCTCTTTTCTTCACTGGAAAAAGAGTCTGTGTGGACAATGATCACTTAGTGGCAACAGTGAAATGACATATATGGCGGTTCCTATTCCCTTTTAACCCAGTAAGTTCATCCAAGGTGAATATTTTCCATGTTAGTTTTCTCAAAATGAAAAGCTATTTAAACCATTCCTGTAAGCACTTGATAATCTGAATACAATGATCATTCATTTGATTTCATACAAATGAATTTTGTAGCACATGAAAAGGAAGAGCTTACTTGTACTGGATGTTGGCTTCTTGTAAGAAGGCTAACAGGGCTCGGGAAGCATTTTGAGAAATATGGACATCGGTAACTGTTCCCTCTGTTACATAGGAGATACTGCTGGGCTGCCACAGGTCCACCTGTAGTGCAGGAACCAACCTATAATTCATATTCAATGTAGGTGGGGAAAAATCCATGTCACAATATAAACACATTATCTTGTTTGAACACAATAACACCAAATATATTTCAGGATGAGATTCAATACTCATATCATCAGGGTGAAACTTCTATCTGAATTTGAACTTAGGCTCCAGATTGTATCATACTCATAGAGAATTTGATTATAATTTATGAGTAATAGTTCAAAGAACAATACATTAAAGCAACAAGGTAAAAATGAGATCAAATAGTTTTAAGCCTAGCTTAAACATTGTTTTTAAATTATTTATTGTGTAAATATTTGAATGAGAAAGAGAAAGATATAAATTAGCCTTCTTCCTGACTTAGGAGAATTGGGGTGGCATTGACAACATTTGGTAATTTTTCTTTTTATTTTATTTTGGTGGTTCTGGAGATGGAATCCAGGGCCTTGCACATGTCAGTCAATTGCTCTATTAGAGCTACCTCCCCACTCCAGTTTTTGGCATTTCTAAGTGGTCCATTTTCCAGGTGTCTTCTACTTAATTTGCACGTCAAATCAACCCTCCCTTCTTGGGAAGGCCTTGGTAGCTAGGACAGTTCTCCCTGTCCTTGTTCCTAGAGAACCTTGTGCTTCTTTCATTATATAACTTGTCACCAGAATGTAAGCTCCTTGAGGGTGAAGGATTTGTCCACTTGATTACTACCCAGAAAAGTACCTTGTGCATATTAGCAACTCAGTCATTATTTGTTGCACAAGTATAGACGTCCCCCCACTCCACCAAGTAATTGCTAGGTTCACTACATATTCAGTATTTTGCAGGAAAGCAGGAGTCACATCCATTTACCTTCTGTGAACCCAGTGCCATGGACAGTGTAATGTACCTGGCAGGAACTCTACTTTCATCAAAAGAACAATAGAACCCTTCTGGGAGAGAGAAGAGCATTATCTTTTGCAGGAGCTTAGAGACATATTTTCAGTTAGGCACAGTTTATCTTTATAGCCCTGTTTCTGTCTTTCCCTGTCTGCTTTGGGTTTCCCCTTCCTATATCTTGGTTCTTGGTCCTACTGCAGGGCCTTGATGTCTGCTAAGCCCTTATCTGGTAGCTTTAGTTACTTGCCTTCACTCTGTTAGGGAACCCTAGGAGGCCAAAAGTACTTTGTGATTCAAAGAAGTAAATGGATGTAACGGTATAATCCAATCTGAAACAGTGAAACCAGGCTTTTATTTTTGGGACAAAGAGTCTACCTGTTTCCTTTTAAATAGCTGACTCCTTCATTAACTTGCAAGGGCAAATCTGACTCAGCTAACAAGCCAGTCCAACGTTCATTGGAAAACAGAAGTGTGGGGATGGAAGGGATGCTGAGAGGTCATTTGATCCATCTGTCAGCCCTTGGGCAAGGATAAATCTAAGACTGCACCAGACTGTCCCCAATAGATACTCTAAACCACATCTTTGAATTCTCCAAAAGGAGGAGAATTGACAACATTTTAATTTAACTCATTTTTATATTTACAAGGTTGTCAGACATTTTTCTTAATCTTTTATGCTACCATACAATTTCATTTTTTTTCTAGTTCCATTCTTCAATGAGGAATGGCTGGGTTTTTTTTTTTTTTTTGCCTTTGTGAGATAAACATGTTGGTATCTTTCAGTTTTCTTTGTATATTAGATTTTCTAATCCTTTAATCATCTTTGGGTTTTGCCTTCTAAAGCCATGATAGAGTCAGATTTTTTTATATTAAGGGAAGAAGTTTGATGCCATCTCTTAATGGCTGTGAAGAGCAGGAAATTGGACTGTAGTCATGGTGTAGAGAGCCACAGGTACCTAAAATAACATGAATTACCACTCTGTAGATGAGTCTGTAAGTGAAATTATCTGGGGTGCATGCTAAAATAAGAATCCCTATCCCACAGGAAAGAATAACTTCTGAATAGAAAGGTCCCATGGAAGTAGCACACCCTATAGCAAGACCTGGAAAAGACTTCCTAGGGAACTAATATATCAAAAAGCAGTGGCCTAAAGGATGACCAACAAAAATAACATCTTAAAAAATCAGCAATTGTATTTTTCTGTGATGTTAGGAAAGTAAATTAATATTAACTGTTAGTTTTTCTCCAGTAATACTTTGGGGAAAGGGATAAGTAACATGGATATTTTAGTCTGGTGGTAGGCACGTACCTATATCAAGATACAGGAGGCAGCAACAATCATCTGAAGTTGGAAAAGTGCCACCTTCTTTATGGACATTTCTAGTCCTTTAAAAAACACCCTGGGGTAGGAGTTAGTTGTAGATACATTTAATGAATTAGAAGACTCAGGTTCATGAGGATCCAATCAGTTTCTTAAGGAAGAACTACTATAAATGGCTAATAGCAATTATACCAAACTCCAGTGCCCATAACTTAGTGACCCAATAAGTGCCTTCCCTCTGAAAATAATCCAGAAGAATCAGCATCTGCCCACTTCCTGACTTTGTGTTTGTGGGGGTCTGGTCAGTGAGTCTTATACCCAGGTTTTTCCTGTGGGGTTTTTGTTCTATAAATCAATAATCAGATATTTCAAAGTTCTAGTCAGCCCAGTGTAGGCAGGTTACCATAGTCATTTCCTTAAGGTCTGCACATCTGATAAGTGGTTCTGAACTGCAAACTGTGTGACATTGGGTTATGACATAATAAAAATATCAATGGCTTTGTCAGAATGGCTGAGGCCTGTTTGCTAAACATTCCAGATCATTACTGTAAACAGCCACCAAATGCTCCACAGGAAAGCTCACTCCTTTGTGGAGACTTCTGTCCTAGCAACCAGTCATATATATTCAGATCCATTTAAGAGGTTGGAGTTTATTGTCATTGTCATGTGTATAGACTTTGGAATCCAACAATACTGGGCTGGAATTTCCAATCTGGCAGCAGCAGTTGCATCACTTTTGGGGAAGTTTTTAACATTCCTAAGCCTTAGTTTCCTTATCTGAAATGTGAAAATTTTAATGTCACCTACAGTCTCTTTTGGAGAGTTAATTGGAAAAACATAAGTAAAATAGATAGTAATGAGTCTAATATATAGTAAGAATTCAAAAAACATACAATTACCCTGATACCAAAACTAGACAAGAATACAACAGAAAAAGACAACTGTAGACCAGTATCCTTGACAAACGTAAATGTAAAATTTGTGAACAAAATACTAACAAATTGAATCTAATAGCATATCAAGAAGATTGTACACTCATGATCAAGCTGGATTTTCCCCAGGGTTGGAAGGATGGTTCAATATATTCTAATCAATAAATAGTACACAACATCAAAAGAATGAAAAAGAGAAAATCATATGATCATATCAATAGATGCAACAAAAACATTTGAGAAAATTCAATATCCCTTCAAGAAAAAAACACTGAACAAGTCAGGAATAGAAGGAATGTATTCCAACATAATAAAGGCCATCTATGACAAATTCACAGCCAACTTTGCATTGAATTGGGGAAGCTAAAAGTGTTTCCTCTAAGATCGGGAACAAGATGAGAATGTCTACTTTCACTGCTCCTATTCAACATAGAACTAAAAGATTTAGCCAGAGAAAGTTGGTAAAATAAAGAAATAAAAGGTATACAAATAGAAATGGAGGAAGCCAAATTATCCATTTGCAGATGATTGGATTCTATATATTGAAAAAAATCAAGACTCCACCAAAAGTCCATTAGAACTGATAAATGAATTCATAGTAAAGTTGGAGGATACAAAACCAACATACAAAAATCAGTAGCATTTTTATGCACCAATAACAAGTTTACTGACAAAGAAATCATGAAGGTGATCTCATTCACAGTTACTATAAACCAAACCAACCAAAAACAAAAAAAACCAAAAAACCACACACACACACACACACACACACACACACACACACACCAAAACCTTAGTAATAAATCAAGACAGCAAAAGACCTCTACAATGAAAATTACAAAACACTGATGAAAAAATTTGAAGACACACATGCACACAAATGGAAAGACTTCACATATTCATGGATTGAAAGGATATTGTTAAAATGTCCACATTTTCCAAAACAGTTTGTAAATTTGATGCAATACCCATCAAAAATACCAATGTCATTCTTCATAGACCTAAAAAACACAATCTAAGATTCATATAGAAGCACCAAGACCTCAAATAGATGAGGCAATCTTGCACAAAAAGAACAAAGCTGGAGCACCACAATATTGATTTCAATACACACCACTGAGACATATTAACCAAATAGCATGGCATTACCATAAACACACAAATACCCTATGGAAAAGATTAGAGATTTTAGAAATAAACTCACATATCTACAGCCAACTGATTTTGACAAATATATCAAAAACACACGTTGGAGGAAGTACAGCCTCTTTAATAAATTGTGCTGGGAAAAATGTACATTCACATGCAGAAAATTGAAACTTGACCCCCATCTCTCACCCTGTATAAAATAAACACAAAGCAGATCAGAGAACTAATAAGACCTGAAACTGTGAAACTATTAGAAGAAAACAGGAGAAATGCTTCAAGATATTGGGATAAGCAATAATCTTTTAGATGTAGCTCTAAAAAGTACAGGAAACAAAATAAAAAATAAAATGGGATTATATCAAACTAAGAAGCTTCTGCACAGCAAAGAAAACAATCCACAGAGTGAAGAGGCAAAGAATGTGAGAAAATATTTGCCAACTATTCATCTGACAAAGGATTAATATTCAGAATATATGAGGAACTCAAAAACTTAATAACAAAAACCAACTCATCTAATTTTAAAAATGGACAAATGTATTTCTCAAAAGAAGAAATTCAAATGCCAATAGTTCACATACAAAGAAAATGAAATCAGCATACCAAAGAGATACCTGCACTCCCATGTTTATTGTAACATTAGTCATAATAGCTAAGATATGGAATCCAACTTTGTGCTCATCGGTGGATAAAAGCATATAAAGAAAATGGCATATAGACACAA